GAATTACTTCTCTTTTTCGGGGCAGTTCTTCCTTCTCAGGCGATCTCGCCATCTTGCAAGGGCTCTGACTTCTCTTTTTCCTTCGACTAGGTCCTCTCTCCCAGTCTTTGTAAATGAACTCCTTCAGTTGTCCTGCCTTTATCAACCTCTCAATCTCATCCTTCAAGTGTCTACAATCGTCAGTTTGTGCCCGTAATCTTTATGAAATCGACAGTACAAGTTTCCCTTGGTCTTCACAAGTCAATCCTTTCTTGTTCTTGGCCATCTTACAACATTTTCATGGATCTCCTCTTCTAACACCTCCAATATTCTTGATTGAGGAGCTGATAAAGATGTGTATTGAATCGTCCTTCCTCCTTTAGATTGCCCTTCTCCCTTGTCCGCTCGCGGGGATCCTTTCCTATCTCCCGAAGAATGGATATTTTTTCTTTCTTCTTCTCTCGAGCATCCATTTTGGTTGACTTTGTAGCTTGCAGGAAATCAACTTCTGATTCCTCGACATTCATGTACTTAGCACATCTTCCCAACACTTCGTCAAAACTTATACCGGGCCGCTTTGCTAAATAATTCCTGCACAGCCCTGGTAGTAACCCTCTACTTAATCCCCCTGAATTAATCTCCTCCGTCGTTGTGGTACATTCATACATGCTCGAGTGTATCGAGCCATATAGTCTCGTAATGGCTCCCCTTCTCTGTTGCATCCTCATCAGAGTGAGATAAAGACTTTTCCTGAGCTCGGACATTTGCAAATTGATTAAAGAAATTTGAGCTGAATCCATCAAAATCTCGAATAGCTTCTGATGGAAATTGATGGAACTAGTCTTGAGCTAGTCCTCTTAGTGTTGTAAAAAAGGCTAGACATCGCATGGGATCACTATAACGATGCAACATCGCCATGTTCTTAAAACTCCTCAAGTGTCTAGATGGGTCCGCATATCCCTCATACCATATGCTCAACTCCCTGAATCCTTGTGGCAAGTCGGCAACCAAAATATGTTGGGAAAACGGGTGTCCTCTCGAGCTTTAACATTTTCTCCCCTCGACTCTAGCTTGCAGGTTGCGGACTTGTGCCATCAATTGCTCCAGAGTATTGTTCCTCACTTGTGTATTTGATGGTTCTAATTGAGGACTCCTTCTCGTCTGCCCTCCTACTATGTCGTTCATTTGACTGTGCATGCTGCTCCTGCTCGACTTGAGGCTGCTGCTCGACCCTAGGTATTTGTCCAAGTTGGGCGGCCACCGCTTTTGCAATCACCTTTTGCATCTCGCTCTTAGTGATAGTCAGTGTTACTTCTCGAGCGGGGACTGTGTTGTCGCTCCTCCTTGCTCCAACACTCCTTGCAACTGCTTTCCGACATTTTGAGACCCTTCCCATGATTCTCGTCCTTCGCCTCCCGGACTTAATTTCTACATTTAGCTAGCTCCTCCCTTTTGTTAGTATCGGGATTTTTACCCAGATGGGGTAATAGAAGTTTCTTCCTCCACACGCACTCTGTGCGGCGCGTGTCCTCCAAACGGCAAAAACCCAAACATAGGTAACACTGGTTTGGGGCTAGGAACTACTGGTGGCCTCCTATATGTCCATGTTCCTCGAAACTCTTCATTCAAGTTTCTCTACAAACCATCCTTCTCAGCCATCTCAGACGATCGGAACTAGGTGCGAAGCTCTTAGTTCCTTCAAGAGCTCCCCAAAGACTACGCCAATTTGACGGGTCTTCTCCTAGATATGAGGTGAACCGGTTGAAATGAGCTCCGATTTGCCTGAACTGCTTTCGAATTGCCTCCAACACCTGCAATAAATCAACACCAGAAGGAGCTCCGGTGTAGAGCCTCTGATGCTTATGTCAGTTAAAGTAAGGAAGAAGATGAGCTGCAGAGAGCAGCAGTATATGAAATGTGTAGAGTGTATAAAGTTAGGGTTTGGTGTTACCTCAGCCCCTTTTATAGAAGAAAATACTTACTTGAAGTGTCTAGAATACCCCTGGTCGACTGACTTGTTCACCTAGTTTACTTGTGTCCTAATCATCTCTTAGTCAGGTCCGAGTCAGCTTAAGATTCCATCTTATCCCATAATGACTCATCCTTATCCTTTAAATTCGTTGATTCTCTAGAATATATTATCCTGTACACCTCGAGCCTCGAGGCATAGAGCCGCCATCGAGTAGGCGACGGTCAATTTGGAGTTTACA